GATCGACTGCAAGTAGAGTTGGTATCAACTGGGCACACAGAATCGAGGTCAGACATACATTCGCCATTAGTGAACAGCACGTTTGACGGGGTCATGTTCCACCCTCCATATTTGTTGACTTTCTCGACCGCCGGGGAAGGAGGAAGACTCCCAGGAAACGCCGCATTGCATTCCTCCTGGAAGCGCTCAAGGGAGCGGAAAGACGTCTCGATCGAGAGAGGATTGTTTGGGTCGCCACGCTGGTAGAAACCTGGGCGAGGCTCAGCACCAGAGCGTCGATCCGGTATGTGAAGGGGACGTACCATACTCAGAGCAGTACTGTCGCATCCAGGACCTATCCTGCACGGGATCGTCCGGGCTTCCAGGGATCGCGTCGTAGTTGACCTCGCGGATGGCAGTGAGGAAAGCGTCCAGGGCGACGTCGATGCCGAGGTTGTCTGATAAGCCGGTCTCGAAGGGAGTAATGGTCGAGTTACGCGTCTCCAGGACGTTGCAGAAGGGCAGGACGGAGGCTTCGAACCCGTAGTACTGCACAGCGAGATCGCATCAGCTCCGCTGAATCAACGCGAAGATTGACAGACACTTACCTGGTAGAAGCTCAACGGATCCATTAGTACGCCCGCCGCACTGATATCGCTCGCGTTCGCAGCGCTCTCTCTAGTGACGTCGTCCGAACGCGCGCTCAGCAGCCTGAACTTGAGGTCGGCCGCCTCCTCAGGCCTCCCGTTCCGCAGCGTATTGTCCACGAAGCGCGTCACCGCGACCCAGTCTGCAGAACAGTTCCGAGTGAGGCTGCGCTCCGCTGCCTTGTAGTAGGCAGCCATGTCCACTTGGGCGTGTACAGGCGCCGAGGAGGCCCAGACGGCGAAGATGGTTTCTGGGTTCCGGACGCGTAGCAGGGCACCGCGGACTCCTGGGTATGAGCCGCCGAGCCAGACCCAGGGAGTCCGCGACGGATGGAGAGGGTTGACAGATGAGGAATTGGCGATGGCGTCGTCCGACGCTTGATGTGATGACAGCGAGAACCTGTTCGCGAAGAAGACCACATCCTCCAGGGCTTGCTCAGTGGTGAGGAACTGCCACTGGTCTGCAGTGGTGTTCTCCTAACGAGGGAGCGGTTAACTTCAAGGACGCGGAACCTGTAGGCGCACGTACATTCACCGGGAACGGCAGGGAGTCGCCGTAGTAGCGATGCTCCCACAGGATCGCGACGCCGTTGTATCGCTTCGCGAGGCGCATCGTCGCAGAGAGGCCATGATACTCTTGCAAGTAGTACGGGAGAAGCGGTTCCGCGTTCTGCTCGCCTGAGTCGAACACTGACAGATCCGCAGTCAGCTATACCTCTTCGTCACGGATGCGGCAATGACGCTCACAGAACACTGGGCCTCCAGGTTTGTAGTAGGTGTCATTCACCCAATATCTGTTCTTGAACGTGCCTTTCGTATTCCCGAAGTGGTCAAGGGGCATCTGGGGATCAATAGACGAGCACTGAGTGTCCATTCAGTCATAACAGCTATGAGAACACTCACCTCAAAGAACCGCGCGTCGTTCTGCGCAGTCTCAGCCCTAGGTACCCCGGGCAGATGCTCCCGAAAGCGCATATTGGGCACGAAGCCAGCACCCACGCAACCAAACAAACACAAGAAAAGCCACACGCACGCCAACCTGCTCAGCTGGCTGCGATCTGTCCTAAGCCCGAGGTGCGACATGCTGATCTGCGGAGGCAGTGCGACGACGCACCAGGTCCATGGATGCGCTGCTTATATGCATCAGGGTCAAGAGATAGTGAGGCTGTATGTCACTGCGGCGAGAGATAAGGCTGGTAGCATGATCGCCCTTCGCGGCTTCGCAGGTTCGTGCGCGCGGAGCGACGGGTGGTGTCCCCGTCCTCCGGGCGGGCCGTCTTCCCGCCCTTGCCCGCATGCTTTGAGTTGTTCGCAGATATGCATTGTCTTGCACGACCAGATTACGCTTTGAAGTGAGAGTCAGAAAGGTATGCCATAATGTACACATTAGCAGGTTATCGTGGTAGGAGTCTAGACATCACTAGGGGGGCGCGTCTGGCCTTGCGACGGAGCACTGGCGATACCGTATCGTTCCTTCTCCCAGTTGGACCACTCGAATACGGGGAGAGGGTGCGCTTCGGTGTTGAACACCCAGCGGTCCAGGGGTATGAGCTCTTCGTCCGTGAAGAGCAGGTATAGGTATTTGAGCCTGAGGATGAACCTGTCAATACTACGATCCCCTGACGATAGGAGGCAAGTGCGCACGTCTCGGCTGTGAAGAAGCTCGGCATCTCATCCTTCAGGCGAGCGGGCGACTTCTCCACAGATGCCAGGCTCGCATATCCGCTCGCGGTCCTGGCCTCCCTCTCAATCGCCTGGAAGACCTCCCATCCGCGCTCCCTCCAGATCTCGTCGCCCGTCGTCCTCCACATGACGTAGAAGCTCTCGACCGTCTATCACAACGACCCTCGTTAGTGAACATAGGTTCCCAGGATGAGCCCACGCACCTCCGGCCTGAGCATATAATCAGACTTCATCGCATAGTAGTCCCTCTTCGTTGACTCCTTCTCGGGCGGGACCTCCTTCAAGCCCGGCGGCAACCCTCCAGGCTGTCCCTCTGCATCCCACCCCTGCACCAACTCCATCCACCTCCCGCCCTTCGGATGCTCCGCATCCACCGGCATACGGGTCATGTACATCTCGTCCGGGCCCAAGCCGGTCTCGTGGTCCGCGTACGTGATCCAGCACGTGTACGCGAGCCCGCGCGCGGCCCACTCGTGCAGCTGCCGGTCGCGCGTGGGGAGGTCGAGCGTGTGCGCGCCAAGCGCCAGGAGCCCGGGGAGGAAGCAGGAGAGGTGCTCGAAGTTGTGCGTGGGGCTGCCGTTGATCGTGTCGGTGACGTAGAGCAGCTCGCGGTTCGCGGAGACGTAGAGCAGGTTGTTCAGAATGGCTTCGACGTCGCGCAGGTCTGCGGGGCAAGCTCAGGGAGGCGTGTCGGAGACACTTTGTTGGGTTATGGTACGTACACATGTCGCGAGCTTTGGGCTCGGACTTGCCAGTGAGCAGCCACTGCTTGAGAAGGTACTCGTGTGCGCTGTCAGCAAAGGCGCCCACGGAGAACTGACCTGCGCGCATGGGCAGGGAAGTGTTAAGTGAGTTTGACGTGGGCGCAAGGTGTGGACGTACTAGAGGTAGGCTTCCCCGTCATGACGTGCCACTTGGTGGCGAACTGATTGTCTTTCACGTCGGCGTCGTTCATCAAGTCCATGATACGCTCGACCTGCAGCCCTCGTCAGCCTGCAATCATACAAATTAGCGATGCGACGCACGCGATCGAAATACTCCCTGCGCCCGGTGAGGTGAGCGAGGTACTTGTACTCCATTTGGCAGCTGAGTGCCTCCGCCCACAGGATGTTCGCGCCTGTCCATCCCATCCTGGTCTTCCCGCTGGTTTCCATGAGTTCAGAGCGCATCCCGTGGATGGGGCTACAGTTGACTTACGAGACAGTGTTGACAGCATACATGGGAAGCCCGTATGTAGTGTTGAATGCGGGCAGCAGCACACGACCCAGGTCATCTGCACGCGTGAGCAGAATAGGTTCTCCGGAGAGAGCGTATGCGGACAGAAGTCCTCCCAGGTAACGAATGACGGTCTCAAAGAATGGCGCGTAGGCTCCCTGTATATCACAGCTCAGGTACACACAAGGTGTAGAGGGAGATCACACTCACCTCTCGTAAAGCAAAGGTCATATTCGCCAGTACGGGTATCGTCTCTTGGAACTCATCATGTAGACCCATGATGAGCATGGTATCCAGGCTGTCCACCATCGTTAAACGCCAGCCATTGAAGCTAGCCAAGCGGGTAAGGCTCTATAGCGTGAGAATCGACCGAACGTAGTACGCACTTGTCCACAGATCCGTTGGTTACTGGTAGCAGTTCGTCGTGCTCGCCCGCGTACTCCTGGTATCCCCCGTATGCATGTCGGAAAGCGTCCTTCACAGCGCTCGCGCGTTCGGACCACTTCGTGACTGGTGGCGCAGGTATATGGTAGTCTTCAGGCGGAGGGTATGGAGGAGGCGGGCCAGCGAACGGAGGAGGCGGTGGATAGTAAGGATTGAATCCTTCCGGATGCGGCCCTCGGTATAATAGGTGCTCATTCACGCCAAAGTGCGCGAATGCCCAGAACATGAACGTCGCGGCGGCGCCAATGGGTATGAAGCGGTATACCCGCTTGGCCCTGAAGAGATCCATCGTTTACGCCAGAGTCGGGATAGAGAGAGCAATCAGAGCAGGACAGCACAGCTAGCACAAGCCCATAAACGACCGGAAGTATCTCGGAGCACAGCTGGACAGCGGGGAAGAAAAGAAAGAGCGGAGAGGGATGCCGCCTCAAAGCAGCATGTGCGGGGAAACTGACAGCGCGAGGACAAGGGACAAGAAGCCGCTCGGGCTCGCGAAGCCATGGTCTTGAGGGCGGCGTGGTGCCGGGCGAGTCGGATGCCAAGCCTTTCCTCTCGGCGCAGAACCAGGAACAGCCACCGCCCGATCACAAGGCGCCCCTCGCGAGATCTGCTCCGATATGGCAGGTGTTCAAGAACGTCAAGCAGCTTCACTCTCTTCTGATTCACGACCTCCACCATAACATTGCGCGCTTGCAAGGATTTGAGGACAACAATGGATTATATGCGACTATTTGGTACCCCGCGTCAGAGGGAGCGAACGTCCACCATGGGCTCTTGCAGGACGGGCTCACGAGGCCTCGTCGAAGCCGCTCATTACCGCGCTTTCGGCGGCGGCGTGATTTGCCACAAAACACCGAGATGCTCCCATCCTTTGCCACTCCACAGACAATATAGGTTGCAACCCCTCCTGGGCTTATTTACAGAACACCACCTCGCACAAAACTACCAGCAACCTACCAACAGTAAATGTCCGATCATACCTCTAGAGTAGCTCCGTGATCGCGGCTGCATCTCTCATGACCATGCTCATATGGTGAGATGGCCGAGCGGTCTAAGGCGCCAGACTAAGGAGTTACTCTACGGAGTCTCTTGACATCTGGTCCTCACGGGCGTGGGTTCGAATCCCACTCTCATCATAGCACTCTTTTTCCCGTCTCGAGCGGCACTGCAAATGGGTTGTTTTTTCTATTCGTCAAGAGTGCGAGTACCATATCATGGCTCACAGAATGTTGTAGTGTCCCGCTGTCAGTCAGCATTCAACGAGAGATACTTAGAGAGGTCAATTACGCTGATGCTGAGCTAGCACAGACTTTTGAGGGTTTTAAGAACTGCCAAAGAGCTATATAACGTGTGGTACCGGCATCGTAGCAACTATCTACGGAATCAAGAAGCACACAACGCAGCGATAATCACGAGAAGCCCGCAAGCAGCACTAGTGATTTGGTCAATAGCTCACTTGGGACTCCACATCACACGCATGCGTTCCTAATGCGGTATTAGGACCTAGCTTGACAAGGCCCCAGATACACGAGAGGAACCTCTAGATTTGAAGTACTGGTGGCGGAGTCAGGCGGAAATATTGAGCTATGGATGAAAGTGTTCTTGATGTGATCCGAAAAACTAAATTGCCCATAGCGCAGCAACCTCCGCCATGATCGTGCAGGGTGCTCCACTACAGTATCTGTTGACGTTCCGAGACGCCAAGCTGGTACGAGACAGGTCTTGCATGACGTGCACGCCTGTACGGGAGCTGTGGAGGAGTTTCTCAGCTAGGGTGTTATCACCACACTCTCAGAGCCATGGGTAGATCAAATGCTGCAACCACCACGACCTGTCGTAACAACGTCCGCGTTTCATGATACTCCTGTCAAGCTAGAGGCAATGCGGATATGTGTATCCTCATCTTACAGAGCTTCTATAGGGTGCAGCCCGCTTGAGATCAGTACCCTGTGCGGAATGAATGAGAGAGCGCATCACCGCACTAAGCCGTTTCCACTGGGATCTGTCCGGCGCTATATGTCGATGCCGACCGTCCGCTTGTCGCTGAGGCGAACATCAACGTCCTCAGGTTAGTGTCTAGGACGAGAGGCCTTCCTTACGGGATCGATGCTTTCAGCACAGCAACAGTAATGGAGCTAGGGCCGGAACGCGTGCAGACACGAGTCGAGACGGGCTATGCCAAGCTATGAGTGTAGCCAATATTACTCGCACTGATAATATTGATTCACACTCATAGCGTAGCAACAGCCCAAGCCGCGATAGAGCCGCGATCTGTGAGTGGAGGCATGACGAGCATTGATGTGTGAGTGAGCGCTTTCGCAATTGCAGTGTACTGGCTGCGGGAGGGCTTGACCCCACCGATGAGTGTAGCAGGAGATCATATGCATGCGTACGAACCACAGTGATGCGGCAGCTGTACCCAGTCTCATCAGACAATATGGCAGCATCCATCATCCATGAAGGCTTCGGCCACCAGCGGTCACGGAAGGCTTCACAGGGCTGAATGTACAAGGAGAGGGAACGATGGAGTGAAAGTCGGTGCAAAGGTGAGGACAGCTTCCGGCCTTGGTCTACCCTCCTGGAGATCATAAGTACTGCAACTGAGCCTGCTCCTAGACGGCGCAGCAGTTCCTGCGAGAAGTCCTCCATCGGATGCTGCCCGGTGAGACTCGAGGCACAATAACAGGTACTTACTTTCAAGTACACCATCGGTGATAGCGCTGCGATGTGCGCCGCCGATTGCACAGGCGTCGGCCTTGAATCGTATGCCGCAGCCTCAGTAAGCGGTGAACGGCGGGAGGCGAATCCTAGACGGCTGGCTACCTCTGGACGTCCTTATGCCCTTATTGTATGCAGCGGAATCCAGTGATCAGCCTAGGTCGCCTTCCGACAGATGTGCTTCGTCGCATGTGCGAGAGGGCACATGGCGACTGTGTCGCTACAGCCGAACAATTAGACCCAGAGGAAGAGACCTGCAGTCGATTCCTGTTAGCACCGGTGAGCTAAAAACAACAATGTAACTGGCTGGCTAAGATAGGGCAATTCCGTATGAGCTGTTTCGAGCTGAGATAGATGGCCGCAATATGCTCAGAGAGTAGAGAGCATGAAATATTCGGAGAGAGCGGTCAGAGTTGAGCGAGAACGACCGTGTCTCCGAGAATCCCGCAAGTCCTGCTTACAGTAGCGCCCGGATGACGAAGGCTGTTCCAGAATCCCGAGAAAGTCGGACTTGAACATGCTCGCTCATCAGCCTCGTCTTGAGGTGCAAACGTTTCCCTCTCCTCTCACCCCCGCAGTCACTCTCCCGCGTAACTGCTCCCACGCATAGTACGGGAAGGTATAGTTATGGCTGCCACCGAGAGCGCCTCTAGTCCCTCAGGTTCTTCGTCGAAGTCCTCCTTGCCGCCGGGCATGGTCATAGGCCCGGACGGAAAGCCTTGCAAGATCTGCACCGCGTTCCGTCACTGGAAACCACGCGTCGAAAAGCCCAAGCAAGGACAGCCAAACACACAAGGCGCGTCGGGTCAGGAGAAGACCGCCGCTATGATGGCTGCGTTCGCGTCGGGCACCGGCTTCGCTTCAGGCTCCCAGCAGCAACAGCAGACGCAAGCTACCACCACGCCCGTATCCGAACCCGACCCGTACGTGCGCCCGGAGTACTGCCCCCCAGACGTCGAGCAGCTTGGCCGGGCGACGTGGACGTTCCTGCATACGACCGCGGCGTACTACCCGGACACGCCGACCATGGCGCACCGCGTGAACATGCTCTCGTTGCTCCGCGCGCTGCCGGTGCTGTACCCGTGCTCGGTGTGCGCGACACACCTCGGCGAGACGATGAAGACGCGCCCGCCTGACGTGAGCAGCCGCGCGGCGCTCAGCCGTTGGTTGTGCGAGCAGCACAACGAGGTGAACGAGCGGCTGGGGAAGGAGAAGTTCGACTGCTCGGTCGAGAAGTTGGATGAGCGGTGGAAGGACGGGCCAGCGGATGGAAGCTGTGATTGATGAGTACTAGGTGAGTCTGTTGTTTAGCTTTGACTCTAGCGGCGTCCTGGATCTGCTCTCCCAGAGCACCATTGCTTAGCGGTTCACCAGCGCATCTACACGTTTCAGCAATGTGATACAATCTCTGTATGATGGTGAGTCTGTTAACTGCAGTTGCAATGTGCATTTGGCCGACCGCTGCGACCAAGGCAGCTCTCCAGGCATGGCTCGTCCAACAATCGAGCAATACGGACTCGTAATCCCCACTCACACTGCGCAAGCTAGACGTACAACACGATATCCATCGCGCACGCTTATTGATATCATCATGATAATGCTACACTTTGGACACTACGTCAACTCTTCGATCACCGCGCCGCCCTTGGCTGGACCATGCCCGACTCTCTGTATTCCCTGACCGCTGCCTTGGGCGCCCTGCTTCGCCTCCTTCTCCAGTGCTTTTGCTCGCATCGTCGCTTCATCCGCTAGTACCCGCAGCATAGGCGCAGGCATGCCCAAGATGTATGCGGCGTAGAACGTCAACTTATGCATGATATGGTTGGGTTTTGGTTTCGAAGAGGACGTGCTTGCGTCTTTCCTGCTCACGGTGCTCTGTGCGGGAGCCTCGCTGAAGAACTCTGCGAGGTCGGAGAGGACTCGCAACGCATTCGCACTGGGGTGTGCTTCGAGCTCTGCAGCAGTAAGCGTCGAGCCGCGCTGGGATATGACGGTCACATGTGCAGGACGGAGGAGCAACGCGGTGTCCTTCAGGAGAAGCGAGAAGAACTGCGCGTTCATGTGGCCCTGTACAAGCATGTAAGTCGGGAGACGTTTCCGACAAACAGGAGGTCTTACAGTTGGGAACCGCGACCATAAGTCTGTCACGACGCCGGACAGGGAGGAGTGGGCCAGGGTCGACCTACGATCGGTCAGGAAGGGGACCAATTGTGAGATCGACTTCCGGACTTCCGCGTGGTCCGGATCTGCAGGTGAGAGTGAAGAAAGAGGAGAGATGGCGAAGTAGCGGATGATGTACGCATATGTGATGCTGCAGCGAGCCTGTCAGAGTGCATGCAAACAAACGTGAGCTGCGCGACCTACACTACAGCGCATATATTGTACAGCAGTAGGGGTCCGCTAAGCGCGTTGTTTGATGACTGCTTGATGAGCGGCTCAGGGATGGACATGATAGGTGGCTTCGAGCCGTGTCTGCGAGCTGTCGCTCCGCTAGACGATGCTGAAGAATCCTCGGGCTCCGCGTCAGCGGGTGCTTCCCACCATGGATCGACGCGTTCCCTCTCCAGCTCTTCGCTAGCAAGGAGCTGTTGTGCTAGCTCGCTATTGGGATCGTTGATTGCGCGCAGGAACTTCTCCCGTTCCGCTGGAGTTAACGCAGCCCAAAGCTCTTCATATGACGCTGAATCTGTCCGCGGCTTCGAATCAGCGCTGTAGCATAGTTCCGGACAAGACGGGACGTACCAAGATCGATATTTTGCAGACGTCTGTGTAGATCGTCCGCGTCGTCCTCATCTTCGTTATCCGAGTCTGCGAGGAGCGGACTTTCGTCGAGGGAGTCCTCCTCGAAGCGTTTCAGGAGGTCCATCATGCGCCGCTTCTCCTCGACGCTCGCTGAGGGCGCGCTCTTGACATCGAGTTCAACTTCCTTCCGGTAGAAGGATTCTGAGCAATTTGCATGTTTCTGCAACGATATCGCTGTGAGTACGCTCCTCGGAGATTCGGAGGACGCTAGACGGAAGCGTACCTCGGAACGGAAGCAGACTAGCGAGCAGTACGGTATGTTGCATCTGGGGCATGTGTATCGCGAGAACTGTCTCCGACAGCTGTGAGTGGTCTCAGGCGATCCGGAAGAGGTCCGGTAAGGAGAAAGACTGACATTGCGCAGGGGACAGTGGTCACCGATTCCGTCTGGGCGGCAGACGCAATGATCGGTTCTGCTTGGGTTTCTTCAGCCATCGGGCTAGGAAGGTTTCTCTCAAATTCAAACGTCTGCAGAGGACGCGGTATATGTCTGCTAAACCTTCAAAGTCTCCTGTTAGTAAGCTCGAGCGGGGGAACTTGGAGGAATGCGGGAAGGAGGTAGATGACCCTAACCATAGAATGTGAGCAAGAGAAGCCCACCACGGGCGCCTCGCGA